GGGGTCTCATTTGCCACAGAAATGTTTCAAAAATTAAGCACAGCAATAACTTCTGAAATGGCAAATAAAAGTAAATATTTCAAGAGTCCACTGTATGTGCGTACACCCTTTTAAGAGATTTTGAAAATACACAAAACTAAAAAGACTCGTCCCCCACCCCTGCTGTCCAACATCCACTTCACAGGCTGAACCCTGGACTTGCCAGGAAGGGATCATTTGCCACAGAAATGTTTCAAAAATTAAGCACAGCAATAACTTCTGAAATGGCAAATAAAAGTAAATATTTCAAGAGTCCACTGTATGTGCGTACACCCTTTTAAGAGATTTTGAAAATACACAAAAATCTAAAAAGACATTTATATCTCCCATGCTCCTGCCTTAGCATTTTGAGATATTTAGTCATTTTTCTCCCCCACAGACATGTTGACGTACATGTGTGCAAAACGGCAACCACCGTGTGTAGACGGCCTCAGACCACCAGATTTACCACCTCTTAGCTCTAGGACCATTAGCTCGTCCTAAGAACACCTGGCTCTTCACACTCCACCGGATGGACACGTGGCAACGCAGCCTCCTTCCTATGGAGAGCCCCCCGCCCCCAGCATCTTGCACATACATGAGCACACCACGGCCTGTGGCGAATGCTTTGGAGCAGGAGGCTCTGACAGTAATGGGGCTGGACGCCTGGGCACTGGCCCGTAGGGTCCCTGCACCCACAGCTCTGGGCACAAGATGCTCGTGCCTCTCCTGTCATACCTGTAGCTCATGCGGCACAGGCAGCTACCTTGGTCTGTGCTCATCAGGTGGGCAAAAATGGCATTCATTTTGATTTGCGTTTTAATTACTAATAATGTTGCAATTTTTTAAAAGACATTTATTGGTAATATTTGTGTGATATGCCTGTTCCTGGGACTTGGTTTACTGGTTCACTGGGACAGCCACCTTTTCCTGACTGACTCTAGTAACTGTCAGTAGTAACTTTGTCCAGGGCAGGGCCTCTTTCTTCCTGCCCAGGGTCTGACACATGGCCACGGGCTGCTGTAGCTGAGGCAGATGCTTAGAACAAAAAGGCCCACAGGCCTCTGTCGCACTGTGGACTCCCCTCCTGGACGTCTAGCAGGCATCCAGGCTCACCTGGTCCTTGCTACATGGACACAAGTTTCTCGCAGCTTCTGACAACTGGGGGCCCTTCCCTCATCTCCGGGGCTGATGCTGGCCTTTTCCTTGCACGGATGCAGAAGCAGCCTGCTCATGGCACCACCCGCAGAAGAGGCAACATCGAAAACCTGAAGGCCTTACCAGGAAATAGCTTGATGCTCAAACCTGAAGCTCAGCTGTACAAGTGTGTCACGTTAAAGACCCAGAATCACCTACTTTGGGGCATCGCTTTCTCTGCAAAATGTCAGGAATGACTTCACTGATGCATTCTCCGACCCCCACTGAAAATTTACAGCTTAGTGGGAACATGTATGTGTCACATGTTTACATAAGCTTCATCTTTAAACGTGACCTTATCTACACCATTGTATTTGGGAACATAAACTGCAAAAGACATTTCGATTCTCATCACATCTGTCATCTGTTTAAAGGCATCAGGGGCAAGCGCAACATTCTCAGGCGCCGGAGCTGGCTTAGCTCCGCGGTAAGTTCTACCAGAGCGACCGCCGTCTGCCTCAGAGACGCTGCGCCCCCCGCCGCGGGGGTCCCGCGAGGTGCCGCGCGCCCGAGCGGCCACTCACTTGAGCGCGCTGAGGTTGAACTCGTAGGCGTTGTCCCAGAAGAGGACTTTGCTGCGGTAGTCTTTGTCAGCGCTGCAGGGCACGAGGTGCAGAGCGGCCGTGGTCGGCCAGATGACCCCATCCTCCTTCAGCCACGCGTCCCGGGCGTACAGGATGGACTCGATCATGAACTCGAACTGCACGGGAGGGAGACACACACAGGGACCTGCGACAGGGCCCCAGAGCTGCGTCACACAGTCTGGGGCCTTTACAGGGTTCGCCCTCAGGAGAATCACCAGCCAACACGTCTCGGGGGATTTATCTTCGCCCCATGCGTCGAGGGTCACCGCCGACCGCAGCCCGGCTCTAAGTCGCATCATTTCACGTCAGGATGCGGACCGGGGCGTGGCTGAAGGTCGGCAGGGGTCTTCACTGCCGCCTCTGTCCCTGGGACTTGGTCGCCACGTCTTTAAGAGACCTGTGTTGCAGGGTGTGACTGTCAAATGCAGTCAGTCTGGTCTGGGGTCGTCTCTGAACAGGCACGACCCTGTGAGCTGCCTGAAAGGACTTCTTAAAATCACGAAAGGTCAAGGTCAAAGCAGGAGTGCCTCAGAGATTCATGTGGTACTTACTTCGGAATAGCGGCTGAAGGCACCTCGCGTCCCTCAGAACGCCCCAGGACACAGGCGGCCGGTGTTGCTTACGACGAAAGACCGGGCTCTGTGTTTGAACCAGTGGGCGCCGGGAAACGGGGCGGGAGCCAGCAGCTGTTTTCCTTAAACAGCCTCAGACAAGCTTTACTATGCAAGTACCGTGTGTTCAGTATGGGAAAACGGGACACTCAGAAAAGCACAAACGAGCATAAAGACCACGAGTAAACCGAGAAGGAACCATGATCACTGCTCAGCAGTTTACCCTCAACGATTTTTCTTCAAACACACACGCATACACACGTGAAAAGTATGTAACTTTTAATTTTAATTTTAAAATTATTGTACAGTACATCAACCCCTCTAACTTCCTCCTTTTTCTTCTTAAAACAATGTTCCTCTCCCCTGTTTGTTGGACTTGCCTGTGGCTTTGCTATCGCTTGCTGGTCTTGCTGGTCCAGAGTTTCAATTATTTGCCGTTATTAAATAAACCTGTAACCGCTGGTAAAATAACTGACTTTCCTTTCTAAGGTCGGCAGCCCTTTTCCTCTAAGTCGCTGAAGTTGTGTATGTGGAGAAGGAACCAGAGAAGGGAGCGTGGTGAACTCAGGGCCAGGCCGGTGCTTCGCCCCGCGCCTGCCGTGTGGTCAGTGGGGGGGTGGCGGAGTGTGCTTCCTCTCTGTCACCGGGAACTGAGGCTGGTCACCACCAAACGTAATTTTAAAAACAAAATCGCAGTAAGACCGCGATACTTTTTGTGCTTATTCTTTTAACCCAACAGTCACCAAGTTTTCTCTAAGTTTATTAAGAATGTGTCTAAAACATAATTTTTAATGGCAACAAATTATTCTTTAGGAACTGCCAGTTATTCCTACTTTTTCCAATTTCCTTCCATTTTAAATGGTGTTGCCATGAACGTTTTTTAGCATGAATTTGTGTACCAATCTGATTATCTCCTTAGATAACTTCACTTAATAATTTTCAGTGCTTCTTGATACCTTCTACTCTATTTGCCTTCAAAAAGCTACACCAGCACATGCTGCCAAAGTAGGGGAGTGGGGAAGTCTCCCCAGAACCTCCACACGGGTGTCACCGGATGGCAGGTGGTCTCTCAGCCAGTGTCACGGCTCAGAAATACTGAAGCTACTTCTTGGATCATCAGTGACACTGAACACTGTTCACAGTCTGGCCTTCTGCATTCTCAGGCCCCCGGCCCACCTTCTTGCGTTGTTCGTCGTGTGCTTTCTTGTTGGGGCCTTTCTGAACTAAGGACATCAGCCTTTGTCATATAAGCTGCAATTCTTTACAGCTTCACTTACCTTCTAGCAATGCGTAGGTAGGTCATAGTTTACAGTGTCCTTATGGGCTTTGTTCTTACAAAGACCTCGTCCTAAATCAGATAAATTTTTTAGCAACTGTTTTACGTTTCTCTTTTTAAAATCGCATAACTCTGTAACCCACCTGGGACTTCTTTTAGCTGACCGTGCGAAGGAGGACCTGACCACTTACTGCACAGTGACCGTCTCGGCAGCACCTCTGGACGATGAGGTGCCCCGGCCTCACTGACTGGACACCGCCCCTTACTATGAAACGCGCGCACGTGCATTTGTTTCCGCACCGGCTCTTCGGTTCCATGATCTCTGTCTGATACTATACGTCACAGCAGAGCGGGGAGGTGGACAGGAGACTGGGACCTGAGGTCTGAGGAGCCTGGAGCCCGGCTGAGGGTGCCAGGTGGCAAGCAGCACAGGAGGGGCGGCTGCAGGGGACGGCGGGCTGTGCACAGAAACGTGAGGCTGTGACGGCTCCCAAATTCTCAACCTCCCTATCTCCAGTCTCACCAACTCTGGGCCCCGTCAACAGACACCACAGGAACCCCCTGGCAGTGTGTACCCAAAGCAGCTGAGCGCCCCCACGCTCCGGGCTCCTCTCCTGAGCTTCTGTCCTCACTTCTGTCCTCACCCCTGTCCCGCACTGGGCAGGTCAGCACTGACAAGAGTGCCAAGTGATTTTCCTTGAACGTGACAGCCACATCTCTCCCCTGGGTGCCTCGCTCAGGCCACGCCCCTCCCTGGGGTCCACCTGCACCTGCCAACTCCACTAGTTCAAGACCAGTGCTGGCCGTCCCTCCCCACTGGGCGGCGCCAGCCAGCCCAACCAGCAGGTCCCAGGTCCCCACCCGGCCTCCTCTGCCTGAGGGACTGTGAACCCACCGGCGTGAGCCTAGCCATCCCTCCTGATGAGTGCAGGGAACCCACCCTGCGCTGTCGGCTCTGTCAGGTGCTCTTCTCCGACCTTGACCCTACGGGTCTCACCACCTGCAGACCCAGTGGGGTCACCCATGCAGGACCTGCTCTCCACGCCACCCCTAAGAAGTCCCAGACCATGGCCACTGTGCAACACGCAGCACAGCCTAACCCAGCTTCTGCCGGCCTAGTGGCCACCGGAACAGAGGGACACGAATTCCACGCTGCCCCAACCAGGTGCTGCCCCCTTCCCTCTCCCACTGTTGGTCCCTGCATGCTCCCCCTCAGGAGCAGACTCAGACCCTCGGCAGCCAGGCGCCGCCAGCCGCACAGGGCATACAGTAGGCCGGCTACCCGTGTCCCCACGGCCAAGAAGGCCTCACTGAGCACTGAGTGAACGGACACTGCTGTTCAGGCGACACAGGCCAACACACACCTTATGGATTAGCAGTGTACTTGGCCCCTTTTTTCCCATGGACCACCTTATGAGTCCACAGGTGTTATCAATAAGCCAAAGTGTGACACGGATGTTGAGTCTGTTCACACAGTATCTTCAGCATTTCGACAAGGCCAACGGCCTGACATCATCTGCCGTCACCTCCTGCGTCTCTGAGTCTACGAGAAGCCGAAGGCTCCCACCAGCACCTACTCGCTGCTCACTCAGACAGCGTCTGGGGAACTCCGGCTGCACTGCCCTCGCTGTCACCCCAGCGTCACTGCTCTGGATCTTCAGAACTAAATTTCAGGTCGGGATGTTTCACTACATCTCAAGTCCCGAGCCGGGAGAGGGTCGAGCAGAGGGTCCCCAAGAGGTGCAGGCCTGCAGGCCTGGCTCCCACCCGTCGGCTGCCCCTGAGCTGTCGCTGAGCACGCAAGGCAGCATGCGGGGCGGGCCAGCGCGGAAGCAGGACGCTGCCCTCTCCCCCCCAGGCCGGGTCTCACGGGGGCCATGTGGGGGGCGGCTGGGGCAGGGGACACCCAGGCTAGGAGAAGAGACGAAGACTCGGCGGGCATCAAAACGGCAGCCTGGGGCAGGGAGCACTGGGTGTTCACAGACCCCAAAGACAGCAGGGTTTACGGAGCTGACTCACGAGGAAGTTCCTTGGGTATCTTATAAAGGCGTTTTTTTAATCGGTTAAAAATTCAAGACATTGAGCCAGTGTCCATATCACGAATCAGTTATGTAAATCTGACCCTAGGGAAAAAGTCAAAACTAACGGCGACCTGTGAGGGCTCCAGCGCCCAGCCAGCTGCCTGACGGCCCCGGCGCCGCTTACCAGCAGGCAGGTCCCCATCCACTCCGACACCAGCACGTCCACCTTCTCCGGCAGCACCACGTCCTCCACCTTCTGCTGGAACACGGTGATGATGTCGGCGAAACCATTCTGCACGACCAGCTGGCCCGTGTGCTGCGCCATCTCGCTGGCCTCCACTGCATACACCTGCATGTGGTGCAAGCACCGTCAGTGCCCAGCCTGGCACCGGACGGCACCTGTCATCACCCCGGCTGAGTCAGAACCAACACCGGAGAAAACGCCAACGGCAGGAACGGGGGGCAGTGCTGGCGGCGCCGGGGAGGGGAGCTGCCTCAAACGGACTCCACCTTCCACCTAAAGGCAGACAGGCCGCGGGTGCGCAGAGGCCTCTGCACCCACGTGGGAGCCCCCACCCAGGGCCTCCTGGGTAAGGCCAGGCCCAGCTCCCGCTCACACCGCCACACCCCCTTAACTGACAGCGGAGGGCCTCGGCACCCGACTGCGGACAGTGGCACTTTCAGGGTGTCAGTGGCTCCTGATATAATCTGAAGTCCAGGTTCCCAGTGGAGGGAACTGGGCACCTCGTCCTGGTTCCAGCGGGATTGGATTCAGCGCTCTCTGCACTGCAGTGTCACCTGCCTGTGTCAGGGGCCGCATGGGGCTGCAGCTGTGCGCAGCCCGGGCGTGCTGGAAAGGAAGTGAGGGTGTCCGGCTCCTGCCAGGCGGTCGCTGCTCGACACGTGGATGACACCTGGATGGTGACCTACGCGTGGACGCGTTTCTACATTTACCAGAAATAAATGTTGCACAAACACGCCCACCGCGTGCATCGCTCAGACCTTCCACCTGTTCCAGCCCGCTCGATGCTGCCTGTGGCTCATCCAACCCACGGCACGGCCTGGCCGCTCGGCCTGCGAGGACGCGCCAGCGCTTCGCCCGCTCGCTGCCTGGCACGTGGTCGGTACTGAGAAGCGGCTTGGAAGCCGCTGCAGGGACTGCGCTGGGCACTCACCGCTTTGGGCTGCGCGTGATGCGCACAGAAGAGGCTGATGATGCCGGTCCCGCAGCCCACGTCCAGGATCACCTTGCCCCGGAGGGACTCTCTGTTCTGCAGGATCACGTGGTGGTACTTAGTTGTCCGTGGCTGGTCCGTCAGCATCTCCAGGTGGAGCTTCTGAAGGAAAAGCACGTGGGGACTCACCGCCTGTAGGCGGAGCTGTGCCGAGCTCTGGTTTCATCAGAGGCTGGGACCACACCTGGAAACACGCCCGCACTCAACACCGCGCAGACAGTGAAGGAATGAACTGGAAGGTTCTGGGATCCTTCCAGCTCAGTGGGACAACTCCACACGAGCGGGTGAGGGAGAAGCAAGTGTGGGCCACGCGGGACACAATGCAGACGTCGCCCTGCTGACCATCGTTCCCGCCCGAGACGGGAGGAACTGCCATGTTCCTGACCAGACACAACTTGGCCGAGTGTCTGCCAAGGGAGGACACGGACAGGCCACCGGGAGAGATCCTAGGGGATACACCTGGGGCCCCAACCCCACAGCCCTCTCCACACAGGGCCCAGAAGCCACTCTCGCCCGGATCTGTCCCTTGTTTGCTCTCGGAGTGTAGGAACTATAGCTGCGGGGCGAGGTGACAACCCCACTGACCCTTGGAGGTTCAGCTCGAGGCCCCCAGACACATCCAGAGGGAAGAGAACATCTGACGCCCAAGGACGCGTCCCATGGGAACTCAGCCAATCCCCAGGGAGGCAGAGAAAGGCCCTTCCAGGTGGGTCGTGAAGCCACAGACACATCAGAGCCCTGGCTGCTGGTCAGGCTGCACCCACAGCCCATCCCCGGCACCCCACTCCCCAGGGCTCAAGCTGCAGAAAACCCGGGCCCCAGACACACAGCCAGGCCACGCAGACTGTGTCGGCACAAACAGGGGTCTGGACAGGCCTTCACAAGTCCAGCCTGGCTCCTCCCAAAGACACCGCTGACCGAAAAACAAAGGGTCAGACGGAAGGATACTGAGTGGCATCGAGATCCAGGCACCCACCTGTGAAGTCCCCGAGACAAGATCACAGCCAGGACAGGTGGGTGAGCCGACCTCAGGGAAGGGAGCGTGGGAAGGGATTAGCACTAGCAAAACACATGCAGAGCAGTGTCCCCAGGACAGAAGCCCAGCTCACAGTAACACAGGCATCCCTTCAGCAAAAGGGTGCAATTCTAAATATTTCTGTGCCTAACAAGTGCTTCAAAATACACAAAGCAAAAGGCAACAGGATGCAACAAGAAACAGACAGATTCACAACGCGAGAGACTGCGACACCTCTCAGCAGCTGACAGAAGCACACAGCCAGGACACAGGCTGGAACGGCACCGTCTACCAACTGAGCCACCTGATGTTTATAAACACGTCACCCAGCCATCAGCAATAACAGCACACGAAAAACACCTCAGAATAGAGAACAAGAAATGACACGGCCCTGCACAATCAAAACCTTAAACTCTGAGACATAACACAAGGCTTAGGAAACGGCAGAGTCGGCGTGACATCACAAAGGTGTCACTTTCCCCTGAATTAATGCAAAAGCGATTACTACGCCAAACGGTCTGGCATGGAGGGGAGAGAACAGAACAAATGATGATAAAATTAGTTTCAAAAAAATAAACGGACAAGGCTAGCCACGAAAATGCTAAAAAATGGGAGGACTATTTTAACATTTGGGAGGCCTAGCTCTCCCAAAGGCTAAGAAGGGTACAATGACGAAAAGCAATGAGGAACTGCAGAAGAAATTAACAGATCAACCAAGCAGAACAGAGGGTCCAGACAAACCCCA